GATATGTTGTACATGCACTATAGGATCACCACAGGACAGGTGTACAGCGTTCTAGTGGGCGAAAGATCGGCAAATTCCTGATGTTTGTGATTTCAGATGCTACGCATCAGAAAAATCAGGTACTAAGAATTTTGTTCAGATTCAGAAAAGCTCATTAGTGGAAACGCAATTGTAAATGATGGTTATGCTGGTACTCAGCTAACTCACGACTTGAAATGAGTGAATCGTCAGCATACTTGACGCATTTAAGAGGGACATTAACCATGCAATCATTTGTAACAATGTTGAAGAAAGAAAATTTTTTGCTAGAAATATTTACGCAAGAAAAATTTGTTTTTGTGGGATCAGGCTGTGGCATGAGTTCCTAGCCTTAATCAGATAATAATAACACTCACCGATATTGTTTTACTTTAATAAGCAAATTTCAGCCGTCCAACGTCATGCCCATATTACTTATGGTCTGCGAGTATGATCTTGACCATCTGCCGTCTCACACTCGTCATTTTCGACAGGTACTAACGCAATACCTTTTATTCCGCGAGTTGGATCGGAATGGCATTAACCTTGCGAATCCTTACTATAGTCTAATCCATGTTTTCGATATTCGTAACCACAGTTCCGATTCATAACATCTTCCGCTGTCTGAATCAGGAAGGCTTCCAACCTTTCGCATATGATCGATGTAATCACAATGGGTCTTGTAACCGCTAAATGGACGTCATTCTTTGTCGTAATATGATGATATGCCAGTCTAGAAGTCAAACTTTCTCAATGCATCTTGGCCGCGGCCGCTTGCTTGCTGAACTCGTTTGTGGTCAGCATCTCTGACCCCTAATGGCCGTCACGTCTGACAAATGCATATATTGCGAGTCAGTGCGATACACTACCTCCCTTGCGACTTCGAGGGTATCCGGCCTTTTACCTTGGCTAGTAATGATCTTATTTTCCCTTTATGCTTGAAGGCTACTCTGATGTTCGTCGAGTTCATGATCAGCCCAACGGCCTCTGAAGGAACCGGACAGTAAGGCATAAACATGGC